GCTCTCCGAAGCTCCCCGGGCCGCTCCCGGCGTAGAGACCGGCACGGATCCCTTCCGCGGCCGAGCCAGGCAGCGGCGTTTGAGCACGTTAAAAGAAACCGAGCGTTTTTCCCCCGTTCCGGAAGGTTTTCGGCAAGCTGCGAGCTTCCAGCTCTGTTTTTCTTCGCAGGGGAAGCGCGAGGAGCCTTTCGTATCTGCTCCGGGCGCCGCTACATCAGAATTCCCCCTCCCGGCCTGCGCACGGAGCGAGCGGATAACAAGCTTGGGAATGGCGGGCAGCGCCAGCGACCAAACAACGGCTCCCGGGACCAAGCCGCGGCTGTGCTTCCGCGCCACGGGCGGAAAAATCCGGCGTCCCCAAGATAAATCGGGATTTCGTGCAGCGTAACTCGTCGTTAGGCCGAGCCGCAACGCTGCGGAAAGCTCGAGAGCCCTAACGAGCCTCCTGGTGCGCGCTGCATCCGCAGCCGTAAATCCGTAGCCCGGAATATCGCCGTTTCCTCAGAAAAGACTTGGGAAAACATTTCTTCTTCCGAAGGTTTCGGGAACTGGACCGTCACGCTTTGCCTGCGGCACGTGGACATCACCCGCTCCACGCGAGGGAGTTTTCTCCTCCGCCAGCCGACCGCAACGGGTGGAATATTTCCGAGCGCTTCCGAGGGCACGGCTCCGTCGGCGATGAGACGTTCTTTCCCCCCCGGCTTCGGCAGCCAGGACGCCGGATTTACCCGTGGAAAGGAACAAACCTGCCCTCGGCGGGACGGGAAGGAGACGGACGGAGAAGCGGAGCGGGAAGGCGATGAGGAGTCGTGGTTTCCGGGAAGGGACTCGCAACCCGTTCGGCAGCAGCGGGATGAGGTTGGGAACGGCACATCCAAACGCACGGCGCCGGTGGAAACGTCCCAGCCTTTTCCTTCCCGCAGGAGAGGGAAGCGCCGCGCTGGGAGCCGGCCGTGCCCCGGCGTGGACTTTGGATGCGAGGCGCAGGGAGCGCCGGTGGCTCCTCGGAGGAAGCCGGGAAGCTTCGGCCGCCCCTGCCCGGGGGTGAGCCGGACCCCGGGCTTCCCGGGAAAGAGCTCAAGAGCCCGGAGCTCCGGGAAAGCCCTGGGATGGGGAGGGCAACAGCCCCCTCCTCCCAGCAGGACCCCTGAGGCGTGGGGGTGGGCAGCACCGGCTACAAAGCCCC